TCTGCCACAGAATCACAGACATAAAGGGAATTCCATCAAACCACTCGGCTTGTGGCCGAGCCACGGGTCGGAACACAGCCGGATCTAATCTTTCTAGCTGCTTTCTGGCATGGATCTTGGCTGGTTTGGGTGCTGCGCTTTGGTCGCTGTGTGCGACGTGAGGATTGCCAGGATTGCTGTCTATTGAGTTGACTGATGGCTTGTTGTTGTTGGTGTTGTTGTTGTTGGGACTCCAAGAAATGCAAGTGTCAGATGCTCATGATGCTCTGTGCGTGGTTGCTAGGACGAGCCAGCGGCGTAAGTCAGTCGAGCCCAAAAGATCGCGGCAGGTTCATCTGACCTGACTCCCTGACTATTGAACTCAAACTCATCGCACTCATGGGATTGACTCGGGAGCGTCAAGTCAAATACTGCAGCCACGGATTGCCGCAGCAGGGGCACGATAGAAGTTTCATGGCTGCCGTTTGCATTCCACGAAAAATCGCTGCCCGACACACAAGACTTCGTCATAGATGATGGGTTGCACGCAGCACACGCTACACGGAATTCGAGTTTGCGTGCGCACAACCCCCAACGCGCAAGGGCTGGCTGTATACCGCTACCACTACCGCTGCCACAACTGCCACTGCGACCAGCACTGCCGCACAAACGGATCAGCAACAACAACACCACCCAATCAAATAGCCAAACTGGATGCCAAGATCCAAAATGGTTTGTTGGCACGCTTCACTTGGCATTGAGAACGTGGGTGACCTATCATGAAATATTCATTAAGTTCAAGCATGCTTCTCTCAATGGAGTTTCGGAACGTATGTGTAGCCATGGAACCAGCCAGGGCTGCGATGAGCCAACAATCACCCAGGGCTCCCTGACACGCATCCGCTGGTTCCACACTGGAAAACAGCTTGGTGCGTCGGCAAGAGCCTTGCACCAACTCGCAATCCTGGTGGAAAGGCATCGGCAGCTCACCAATTAGGCTCTAGCTTCTCGCACTGTTCTCTTATGGATAACCCGCGTTCCTGCCGAGATGACCTCTGACCGACTAAAACCCGCACCTTTTGCACAAAGCGTGCCTCCTCCGCTAGAGTCTCCCAGAAGTCTCCAGCAAGGGAACAGCACTGGACTCACCGGAGTCGAAGGCGAAGGTCTCATCCGCACTCACATGACCGGCGGCCACTTTGAGCCCCGCTCCGACATCCAAGAGTTGCCACGGTGCCCGGTGCGGCCACACTGTGAAGGTTGGGAAGGAAGATATGCGGAAGGAAAAAAGCTCGCCGGGCTGGAACGCCTGCTGCAGTTCTGCCAAAAGCTGCTGATCCAGAAAGGAGACGTCCAGCAACGTCTGCGAGAGCAGGAAGCCCAAATCAAACCACACAAGCTCCTCAAGTGGGACCTGAGCAGGAAGCGCAATCGCCAGAATGTCGAGGGCTCGCAACTAAGGTTCAGTCTGCCCCGTACTTCAAGGAATGGAAAGCGGAGCACGTGACAGGGCGGAGCTGCTGCGAGCGCTGTGAAGGTCTTGAATCCGCCCCCAAAGCTTCGGCGCTGCCGATCTGCGAACAAGGAATGTGTGGTATACGGGTGGTTGCCGGTGTACTTTCGCAAGGCAAAGTGGTTGCCGACTGCGTCCGGCCTTAAATTCGCTTGTAGAGGCCCAGCAAGAACCCCATCAATGCAACGAAGATCAGCAAAGGCGATCCTCCGAGTTGGGGCCCGGGCCCGGGTCTGACTGCAGAGGTTGGGGGGATCACGCCGAAGAGGTACGCGGTGCTGCATTGAAGAGATTCCACAGGAAGACGATGCTGAGGTGTACGCCAACAGCCAGCACCATGCCAGTCATCTGCAGCCTCTCCCAAGGACACACCAGAAATCCTGGACAAACGATCTCCAACAGGACAACGCACACGCTAGCCATGCCAGCAGGCCGCGAATGCTGCAAGAGTTGAAGCCGTCCTTCAGTGTCGCGCTTGAACATCTTCTCCTTGAGGCACCGTGGCAGGGGCAAAATCCAAACATGCTCGGCAAAACTTCTGGGAACCAAGGTCCCATCTTGGCCACACCTGGCATGAAGAGGTGGGCGAGCTGGACGAGCTGGCAGCCGGCACAGCCGGCACAGGCGGGCCCAGAGCCTTCTCCACCCACAGCCAGACAAAACAACAAAGGAAAGTAGTAGGCACCGCAGGATCCGGTATAGGCTGTCCTGTCCAGCAGACAAAGCAGCGCCAGCAGCAGCACACTTAGCCGCAGCTTCACAAGACTTTCATCCAACCGAAACGGGGAAGTCAGGAAAGCTGTAGCGCTGCAAAGATAGAGCACGAAGAGCAGCTGGTCAGCTGGCCCGCGCCTGCGTGGAAGTGCCAAGAAAGGCAGCAGCGGCTGCTTCAGGGTACCGGCAGTCAGCCGGTGCCGGAGTGGCTCCAGCCAGCTTTGGTTTCTGCCAAGTGGACCAGTCATGTTGCAAAAGCCGCAAATCTCCAGGACAGCTGTCCAGAGTGTCACACGAGCAAAAGCCGACAGAAGGCCGTGTTGCAAGTCCACGCGGCATGCACAGATGGCGTAGCCCACATGCAAGCAACAGGATAGTGCATAGACCAGCAGTCTAATACCATGATAGCAGGGTGGGAAAATCCCGCACACTGCGGAGAGCTCGCCAGCCAGACGGGTGCGCTCTTTGAGGGAGCAACGGAGGAAGTGCTTTTCTTCCTCAGGCCCTAGGCCGAAAGGTGTCTGCTGCCACCACTCGGAGCACGTGCCGGTGCTGCTCGTGGCATGGTTGTACAACGCCATCCTCCCCCGCCCCACGCGACCACTGCTGTGCAGTGTCAGCGAAAGCTTGCGCAAGGCAGTCGCAGAGGTTTGAAATCTCGGGCCAATACCGGAGCTATGTCTTGATACTTGGTAGCATGCTTTTGCAAGCTTCCAAACAGCCACAGTCGCGTCCGTTGATCTAAACAGAGTGTAGGTTGCTGTCTGTGCACGGGGTCCCTGCATCCCGTTATTTACACATTTGCCGCTGTGGCTCCGAAACACGACAGTTGGGATGGGATCGAGGCTCTCTCTGAAGGCACAGCCGTCTTTCAGAGGCGATCGGGTCCTGGGGCGGTGGTGCCTTCAAGGCTGCGAAGACGGCGCTCTGTCTGTGCTGTGGTTTCTGTCTTCCTTTCGCCCTGATCACAAAGCAGAGCCCAGCAGACGTCGAAGGCCAAATGCAAAAGCAGAGCAGAGCAGAGCACTGCAGATACGACCGGCAGAATCGGCAGTGCCGGACTTGGGCCAATTTTGGGACTTCGGACTTCTCTTAGCGGCGCCGGCAGCGGTGCAGCGGAGGTGTCGATCCGTTTTTCGGTGTGCTTTCAGCAAATCTTGCAACAGACGGAGCTCCAGCGCGTGAGCCGCGACGAGAGGGAGGCAAGCACGAAGCGCTCCTCTTTCCAAGGCCTCGAGAGCGAGAGTCCACGAACCCACGAGCCAAAACGCGAAACTGCAGGGATCGTACCGCGATATGAAACAGAGTCTGACCAGCTTGCAGAGTTTGCAGACGGCGGCTCTTGGGCTCGAGGAATCGACTGAGATTCGCGGAGTCGGCGACTCCAATAGCTGTGGGCTGTGGCGGGGGGTCTGGGAGCCTGGGGGTCTTGGCCAAGAAGACGTTCTCACTGCAACTCAGCGGTCCTCGGAGAGGCTGTCGCCGACATGGCGAACCCCCGAGCACGATTCTCGGGTGGAGATTTTTTTTTGACCCTTTTATTTTTTTTTTTTTGGCCCTTTCTTTTTTTTTTTTGGGGGGGGGCGGGGCTAGGGTTTAGGGGGGAGGCGAGTTCCCTACGTTCCCGGGTTTCGGGTTTAGGGGGGAGTTGCCTACGTTCCCATAGGAAAACTTCTAGTTTGTTTATATTTCCCTAGTATAAAAACCAATCTTGTATCTAGTTTTAAGGGTGGAAAACCAGGATTTTCTCGATATGTCCACATCTACATCCATAGACCTGTATTTGATTATGTTTACTTCTACGTTTACGCAGGAAAACAAACGAGTGAAGTTGTTTTGGGAGCATTTATCTTATTTCTCTCTATTTGGTGTTCATTGTTGTTCTTTGGTTCGTTGTCTTCGTTTTTCCTGGAAAACCAACATTGTATAGCTTCGTAAGATTAATACCACTTTTTGAAGGAGTTCCTATGAATTCTTTCGTTTTGATTCGTTTACTTGGTTTTCCACGGAAAAACATAATTTCTTATATTTTTTCATGAGATTAACTCATTGCTTTGTTTTTGGTTCGTTTTCTAGGTGTTTCCCGGGAAAAACCAACATTTCCCACATGAGAATATGCCCCTGGTTTAGGGTTTAGGGTTTAGGGTTCTCTCTGGGTTTTGCTTCTTGCTACGCATCGATGCCTCCATGCCTGTGGAAGGTGGTGCCGAGTTGCAATCCTGCGCGCGTGCTGCATCGTTGACTCATAGCTTTGATCGGGCATGGGTGACCTGCAATGCCATCAATGAGGTCCAGTGTTGCGCAGGTATCAGTGTATATACGATTACGTTCCTTTTGACTTCCATCCTTCCTTTCTTGCTTCCTTCCTTGTTTGTTTTCTCCTTCCTTCCTTCCTTCCTTCCCACGGAAGGGCAAACAAAAAAAAAGGGCCAAAAAAATAAAAATAAAAGGGTCAAAAAAAATTGGGTCCCCCGATTCTCCGATCTCTTCTTGTCTGCAGCGCCTCTGGTACGTGGCAGCGGGGCGGTCCTGCGTGTCCGGGTTGGAAGTGTCAGCGAATCATCTCAAAACACCTCGTCCTTTCTGTTCTGTGATGGACTCTCCTTCCCGCTCGCAACTCCTGGAAATTATCCTGTTCTCTGAGGATCGTCTGAAAGCGTGCGATCAAAAAGCGAGCTCAGCCGGAGTTCACATGCTCCTTGGAATCTATGCCGGTATTTTTCTACTCAGAAACGACAGGAGTTCGTTCGGAGCCTTGAGGAATGCCGGCTGGTCGTGAGGTCTGCACTGTGACTCACTGTGAGTCTGCGAAGTTCGCGGAGTACGAGGCGGAGCTGGGTGTCAGATTAGGCGACTTGGGCCCCTCTACCACTTTTTCCGTCGCTTCAAGAGACTCGCTGCCATCGTCGGGTGGCTTCGGCTCCTGCCGGGAGGAAGGAGGAAGCGGGGGCTCAGCCGGCTCAGGCTCGCACTTTGCCGGGGGCGCCTTTTGCTCGACAGACGGGGCATCCGGGGCAGCCTGCAAAAGTTTGCAAGGGTCGCTGGAAAGACTTGCCCAAAGAGGCCCTGTACGGCCCACCTCCACGGGTTCAGCCACTGCGTCGCACTTCTCTTCGGCGGACGGCACGGGCTCTCCCTTCGGCGTAGGGCGTGGCAGGGCGTGGCGGGGCGTGGGTTCCTGCTCCCACTCTCAGCAGTGGGCCAGCTCCACAGGATGCTGGGCCATGTAGAAGAGCAAGTAGGGGTGCTGCCTTGCAATCATGAAGGATCTCTGTCTCTCTTAGGGCATAGCACTGCGCGACCCGGCTCTTCCACGTCGCACCACTGGACTTGTCGCACCATCTCGTCATCGATGTGGTACCTGGGCACGGAAAAGACAGCGCGGCGAAGGCCAAACTCAGCTGTTCGAAGCTGCAACTTTCCAAGACATGCTACCCGGTGTTGGCACTCGTAGCTCGTGATGTGAGGCAGGGTCTGCGTGTGCGCGTGTTGATCTGCGTGTCCGTATAAACCTGCTTGATTCATAGCCAATGTATATTGGTATAATTTTAACGCTACGCCGCCCGCCTCGGTCGATGTTTTTTTATGCTAGGGCGGCCTGTCAAACCCCAACCTTTACACGGTTGTTGATACGAAGTGCGAGGAGAACGGGTACAAGGGGGGTGGAGGGGGGGGGAGGGGGAAAAAATTGTAAATCAGGGGTCTCTGGGGTTTCCACCACAGGCGCCCACATATCAATTTATACAGTTAACCTCATTCATTTTACATTAATTACAACATAAATTTTACAAAAAATCATTTTATTAACCTATTTCATTTTCAATAAAATTATTTCTAGGGTTATTTATTTTAAGTAGTTAAATATTGCAATTTAATTTTTATTATTCATCTTATTCATTTTTACCATGAAAAATTACCTCATTCATTTTCCATTTTTATAAAATTACCTTATTCATTATTTTTTCATAAAATTTTTCAGATTTTCAAAAATCTCATATTTCAATTTTGGGCGGGGTTTCTAGGACTAATTGACCTCTTATTCATTTTATATAAATATAAATTCAAATTTTTATCATTTTAAGTAGAAAAATATTACATTTTTGAATATCTACCTTTATTCATAATTTCAGGGATTATCATAATTCCTAGGTTTCTAGGGTGTTTGACCCTCTAGCGTTTTATCAAATATTCATAATAAGTTTTATTATGAAGCTTTGCTGGGGGTTTTGGTCTTTAAGGTTAGGGTTTTAGGTTTTCTTGTTCATGAAATATACTCATTGCTTTTTGGTGTTTCTTGGATTGACTATGTATTTTTATTTTGTATTTACCCACAAGACATTTACAGTAGAAGCATTCTATTTTTTCTTTGTTTAGTTTTTGAATGTGTTCTTTATTTTCTTGATTATACTTTTTATTGTATTCATTTATTTGTTCCTTGTGATTTTGTCTATACCTCCATCTATGATTTAAATAGTTATTACATTCATTACAGTCAGGTGTAAACATATCCATACTTCTGATAACACCACATTCATTACATGTTGTAATACTTACCATCTTCTTTTCACTAATTTATAATCTTGTTTTTTCTTTAAGTATTAATAATATTAAACTCTAACCACTCTACTAAATCATGAAAAACTTCTCTTTTGTTTAAGTATGTGATAATCATTGAAAATATTCTTAAATAATGATATAAGTATTGGTTTGTTTCAATATCATTATATTCATGATTATATTTAACTATTAATAGTTCTTTTAATTCTTTAACTTTCGTTTTATTAAAATAATGGTTATACACTTCCTCAAATTTATCGTGTATTGAACTATCATATAGTTCAGTATATTTAACATAAAAATCATATTCATATTCTTCAACTTCATCTTTGTAAATATTACAATAAATTGTTTCAATACAAAAATTGGTATCATATCCTCTTAAAACGTTCATTATTATTTCTCTATGTGTTGGATAATAGTTTTGTCCCACTAGACAATAAATTAAAACAGCGACATCATAGTCTAAATATAATATTCTATCAACACAATTAGAACAACCAATATATGAGAATATTTTCTCATTTACACCTTCAGAAAATAGATTAAAGTTATTACTCAATTGATAGTGTAGTAATCTACATTTCTTACAGTTCTTAATGTCATCTTTTATTAATTTTCTTCCATACTCAATTTCTTTCTCAATGTTATAACATATTGTAATAACACTTTCACTATCACTCATTACTCACTTAATATTAAAAAGGTCGTTTTTCTTTAAGTAGATTTACTTATTTATTAACAATAACTCATGTCTCATATATTTTTTAGGTAAACCTTCAAGAATATAATACAAGTTTAACTGCTTATCTCTCTCAACTTCTTTAACTTCATGTGTTTTCTCGCTCCATTTTGAACGGCTCTCCTTAAAACTGGTATAATTACCACCAGATTTTGTATATATCTTTACTTTATCACCTTCTTTAATATTAGGATAATTTCTTAAATATTTTTCTTTCATTACAGAATTAGCTTTAACTTCTACAGCATTTTCATCACGGTGGGCATCATTAGGGACTAAACCAGTGGTGCTATGCTTCATTTGTTTATTATACTTGTCTAAAACTGGTTTTAACATTATTGTCCATGCTCCTTTATGAACCTGTAATCTATCACTTATCATTTTCTTTAAAGTTCTTATAACGCGCTCGGCCGTCGTCGCATGTGTTAATGTTATATTGTGTGTTATTCCTTCACTTTTAAAATAGTCTTGTAGTTTTTTATATTTAAAGCCTCCTTCATCATCACTATACACTGATTGTGGATGACCCATTTCTTTAAAGCATTCCAAAAATGCATCATACAAGGTCTCACCATCTTTATTTGCTATAGCCACAACATGACATTTTTTACTAAAATTATCAATACAAACAAACCCATATCTTTTATATTCAGGTTTATATGTTCCTGTGTCTTTCATAAGACTCGTCATATTCATTAAATCAACGGGATAAATAGAACGGGCAAAAGGTGCTGAATAACTGTTATATTGTTTATAATTACTTCTCTGTTTTACTGACTGATTTTTCAACCATTCTTTAACTTCATTAAGTGTTATTACCAATCCCGCTTTTATAGCTTCATCATATAAACTCTTTGCACTACCAAAACCGCTTTCAATATCATAATATAACTCTGATAATTTGTTATTCTTACTCATAATTAATATTATTATATGTTAGATAATAATATCAATTCCATAACAATATCTTTCTTCCTATCTTATCCACCATTTCTTTTTCTAGTCTTTCTTGATATATTTCTTTACATCTCTTCGTGTTCATATGTTTAGATTTATTAGTATTGCTACTTATCTTTCTTCCACACTGTTCACATTCAAAGCATTTACTATTTTTCTTAAAATATTCATTGAAGTAGCCATTCTGTTTATATTTTTCATTATTTTTATCATTGTGTGATTTCTTTTTCGCTTGTGCTATTTCTTCGCTATTCTCTTCATCTAGCGAGTTCCACAGCACATCAAAAAGGTCATCATCAATGTTTATTTTTTCACCTTTTTCCGTTATAAAGCAGGAGTTCATCTTACTATTTAATGTTAATTATTCTTTAAGTAGGGGGCGTTTTAGCACCCTCCATAAAGTAATAATTAACTGCTTATTGTTCTTCTACTGCTTCTACTCCTTATGTATTCTATTGTTTCTTGACTTCTACGGGAACTAATAATACTTTGTGGTGGTGTTTCATTATCAACATATTCAATTGTTCTATTACTTGGAACTGAACTCTGAACTGTTTCAGGTGGAGAGGAATTAACATATTCACTTAATGCTTCTTCTTCAACCGGTAATAAAACGCTTCTGTTTGAACTTCTTCTAGAAGAACTTGATGAAGGCTCATAAGACGCCTCGCCAGAGGCTCGCGAGCTTCGCGATTTCTTAACATTCATTGGTAAACTATTATCGCTCTCTTGACTTTGTTGTTTCTCTATAGATGCTTCTACATCATAATCATCATCATCATCTATTTGTTGTCTTCTATTTCGTAATTCTTCTCTTTCTTCTTTAAATTCATCCCTAAACATAGCATCATAAACTCTCCTCATTATTGATTTCTTTTGTGTTCTTTCTCGTTCTTTTTCTTGTTGTTTTTCAATGGTCTTCATACTTTCCTCGCTTTCATCTGTTTGTATCTGTTTAATCTCTTCTTCTGTTCTCATACTTTCACTTTCTGATACACTTGGAGTTTCATTAAATACATCTGTTTGAGTTCCTTTATTTGGATTATCAGGGTTATCATTAAATAAAATGGTTCTTTATTATACTTATCTAAATCAAAATCATCAAAATTAACATCATCTAATAATAAACCTTGTTGTGTTCGTTTCTGTCTTTCTGGTAAAATTTTTAATCTGTGTGTTCTTGCTTCCCTTTCAATTTGTTCAAAAGTGGGGCGCAATCTTAACATATACTATTATTTAGATTAAACTCATAACAGCATTTCTAGCACCTGCTACAACTGCTTCTTTAACTGCTTCTTTACCTGCTTCTAAAACAGCACCTCCTACTGCTTTAGCACCACCTACTATAGCGCTTCCTATTCCTCCTCCACTAGATGATGATGATGAACCTGCAGAAGGTTCAACAACTTTTGATTTTACTTGTTTTCTTATCTTCTTGAACTCTTTAATCTTACGACTTAATTTTGCACTGTTAAAATCTGCATTCCATTCATCCTCTTTTTTATATGCCTCCATAATTGCTACTAAATACCGTTTCCTTTTTTCGTCTGTTGGCATTTGTTTTACTAGTTTTATAGTTTCTGGAGTTAATAAGTCTCTAACATGTAATTGAAACATTAATCCTCTATAATCTATACTATCATCATTGAATACTTTATCAGGGTCAAAACCACTTGTAAAGGCTACTGACTGTTCTAATTTTGTTAATTCTTCATCGCTTTCATCATTTTCATTATGAAAAGCGTTTCTAAATAGTTCTTGTGCTTCTTCAATTGCTTGTTTACGTTCTGGTGTTTCTTGACTTGTTGATTTTATTTTTCCTTCTACTATACTAAATTGTTCTTTTTGCTCTTCACTTAATTTACCCATTTTATCAGCTATTTTAAACATAGTAATTAAAGTATCTTTATTCATATTATTTGGGTCAATTGTAGACCAATCATTTAGGTTCATTTTATTTAGGTCAAATTTAATACCTGCCTTTACAGATTGTTGTATTTTTAAACCATCAAAGACTTCCATTATTTGCTGTGTGTCATCAGCTTCTTCTTGTGTAGGTTGTGGTGGTGCTGGTAATGAGGGCGGA